CCAGGCGAGCGCGCTACCACTTGAGCCACATCCCCAGCCCTTTTTTTCCCAATTGTTGATGGACCTTTATTTATTTTATTTTATATGCAGTGCTGACAACAGAACCTAGTGCCTCACACATGCTAGGCAAGTACTCAACCACTAACTCACAACCCCAGCACCCCTAGTCCTTGTTTTAATAGTTTATTTAGAGAGAGGTTTTCACTGAGTTGCTGAGGATGTCTTTGAATTTGCAATCCTTTTGTCTCAGCCTCCTGAACAGCTGGGATTACAGAGGTGTGCCACCATGCCCAGCCCCTAGCTCTTTTTATTTTGAGACAGGGTCTCCCTAAATTGCTGAGGCTGGCCTAGAACTTGCAATGATGCTTTAGCCTCCTGGTTTTTGGGATTACAACCATGCACCAGTGCATATGGCTCCTATACTAATTTTTAACCAAGTATCACATTAAAAAGATTAAAGGAATAAAATAAATGCCAAAATGTTGAGGTATTTAACAGGTTACCCACAGCTTAATCTCATTCATCAGATGAGCTTTGTTTGCCCGTAAGTTAATTAATTAAATCTATTTGTTGTGGCACTACGGATTTAATCCAGAAGCACTCTATCATTGAGCTATAACCCTACCCCCCCCCTTTTTAACACAATATCTTTATTTTATTTATTTTTATGTGGTGCTGAAGATCAAACCCAGGGCCTTGCATGTGGTAGGCAAGCGCTCTACTGCTGAGCCCCAACCCTTTTTATTTTTTATTTTGGGACAGGGTGTCACCAAGTTGAAGAAGCTGGCCTTAAACTTATGATACTTCTGCCTCAGGCTCCCCAGTAACTGGGATTATAGGCATCTGACACTATAAACACAAAGCAGCTGCTTTTAAAAATACATGTTCGTGGGAGGTGCGGTGGCGCATCCCTGTAATCCCAGTGACTTGAGAGGCTGAGGCAGGAGGAGCATAAATTCTAGGTCAGTATCAGCAATTTAGCAAGGCCCTAAGCAATTTAGGAAGACCCTGTTTCAAAATAAAAAGTAAAAAGGGCTGGCAATGTAGCTCAGTGGGAAAGTGCCCCTGAGTTAAATTGCCAGTACCACAATAAATAAACAAATAAACAAACAAATAATAAATTTTAAACATCTGTACATAATTATTAAGACAAGTTGTCAACCTTATATATATAATATTTATTTTGTGTGTGTGTGTGGTGTTCACGATGAAAACTAGGGCCCTGCACATTCTAAGCAAGTACTCTACCACTGAGCTATATCTTCATCCCAACAATCTTATATTAATCTTTTAACTAGGCCATGAAATCCAAAAGCCTATGAAACACGAGGCTAAACTGTCAAGAGACTAGAGTGAAGCCAGGTGCTGTGGCATATACCTATACTCGCAGTGACTTGAGAGGCTGAGGCGGGAAGATCGTGAGTTTAAAACCAGCCACAACAATTTAGCAAGACTTTGCCTCTAGATAAATTACATAAAAAGTGGGGGACTGGGGATGTGACTCAGTGGTTAAGTG